TTTTGTGGGGGTGTGCCCGCGGGGGGGGGGGGGGGGGAATATGAGTGCAAAATCCCTGAAACTTTTTTTTTTTTTGATATTGAGCCCATTTTAAATTCCTACAAATAAATGTGCGAAATGACAATATTTGTATTTGGAATTCGCAATGTATTGTTTCAGTGGTTTATCGAAAAAAAACAAAATTCTCATTTTACTCAGTATCTGCAAAAAGCTAAAGCTGAGAAAATGACATCTTTGCAATATTTCTTTCCCCCCAGAGCCAGACATCATAATTATAGTCATATATACGTATATGGAATTAGCCAACAACAACAACAACAACAACATATAGTCAGACAAGAACCAAATAATAACAATAATAAACAGGAATAAGTCATAGCTGCCCGTGTTTTAGGGGGAGTCTCAAGTTGCTTCGTGTGCTGACGTCACAACTACGTAAAGTGAAAAAAAAAAGGCATTGAGCCGCCTTGTGAAATTTTCCACAAATTTTCTTTAGAGGGCGTGATCGGACCAACTGTCAACAAGTGTGGCTTCTCTCCCGATTTTGAGATGCTGGCCAGTCAGTTATGTATCCTGTTTATTGTTTTTGTTAAGTGACTGTTTGTGTCGTACTCGAGGCGTTCAAAAAAAAAACAGTGCGATAATAATCGCGCAAACCGCGGAGTTGGCGGAGACTGTCAAGTGTCCTCTTTAGTACGTCACACACCTGCCGAACTAAGCCACGCCCCTCGCCTGCAATAAAACTTCTCCCGTGACAAGAAGACCTGCCAAAATCCTCCCAAATCCACAGCGAGCACGACTTGTCGGTTGCTTGCCGTAGAAGTGCTTCTGCGAGCAACGCCAAAAGAAGAAGAAGAAGAAGAACAACAACAACAACAACAACAGCAACAGCAAGCGAAAGCGTCGCGCCACTCGAAGAATTTAGCGACGCGGGCGCCTCATCAGCCCCCGATGCTGGTGCAATCCGGCGGGTGTTAAGATCCATGGAAGTGGCCGGTTTCTACGACGAGGGAGGCTTTGCTATCCACGCGAGAGACGGCATTCTCAACCCCGGCGGCTCGTACTGGAGGCTCGGCGACTCGATGACGGAGTTGGGTATCGAGGAGCGGGAGAGAGCGATCGACTTCAGCCTCTACTTGGACCCGGCCGCCGCGCACTGCCCGCAGCTGGCGGCGGCGCACTCGCACCCTCCGCAGGGCGACGTGTTCTCCGACTTCCTGGCCGAGAGCAAGCTGAAGAGGGCGGCCGCTTTCAAGAACCACGCGCTGCTGGGCGAGCTGGAGGCGGCTCAGCGAGGAGACGGGCCGCGGGACCCCCGGGGAGCGCCCTACGGGCTCGGCTACGCCGACCTCCAGGAGACGCGCGTGGACAGCGTGCTCGCCTCCGACCTGGTCCGCTACCGAGCCGCGGCCAGAGACGACGGCAAGGAGGACGCCAAAATGGAGAACGGCTCGTCCGTCTTTGACATGCGCCCCTACCTGCCCTACCAGTCGACCGGGGGCAGCATGGGCAACATCTCCACGGCGTCCTCCACTTGCTCCAGCCCGCCCGGAACGCCCGCGCCGGGGGGTCAGGGCAGGTCGCCGAGGTCCCCGTCTCACGGCGCCAAGCTCTCCGGCGGCAAGGCCAAGAAGCGCCTGGACAAGGACAGTGAGGAGTACCGGCAGCGGCGCGAGAGGAACAACCTGGCCGTGCGGAAGAGCCGCGACAAAGCCAAAATGCGCAACTTGGAGACGCAGCACAAAGTTTTGGAACTGGCGGCGGAGAACGATCGTTTACAGAAGAGAGTGGAGCAGCTCTCCAGGGAGCTGGCCACCTTGCGCAACCTGCTCTCGGCTACCGGCCAGTGTTAGACGCCCACCCCCCGGCCCGAGCTGAGCTGCTCCCTTCGGGGACCCACAAACGTTGTTCGGAAGATTGAGGGGGGTCGTCGGGGTCGCCTGGGGGTGGCCGTACGGACCGCGAACACTTTACAAGGACACACTTTGCATTGGGACTGAAGAAGTGGCTTGCGCGGATTGCGCAATCACTCGGCATTCTTCTTTTTTTTTTCCTCCTTTTTTTTCCCCCTTGTTTCTTTGATGTTTTTTTTTTTGGACACCTCGGCTTTCATCTCGTCGAACTGTGTGTATGCGGGATTTGTGTGCACGTTCGACCCAACGCGTGAGTCCGTTTCGACACGAACGTGTCGAAATGGAGCAGCTGCCTCGGTTGTCAGACGAAGAGTTTGTGCTGCAGTGAAATGATGCAACTCTTCGTAATAGTACGGCCAACGGATGAAATCAGTGGAATTATTTAATATCGACGAGGTGAAATGCATTAATTGTACTTGATACTTGACGGAATTAAAATCATTTCTACTTTGGTCTAAACAATTTCACTTGGCACGTCTTTATTTTAGGCTGTTATTTTATTTTTATGTGGACTGCAGTGAGAGATCATGTCTGCCACCTTTTTTTAAAAACTGTGAAAAACACAAAGCACCGTTTCTAATTCATGATGGAAAAAAAAAAAACCCAAAACGTCCAGCTACCTTCATAAATGACGCGGACGCGCCGGTGATCTGAACAACCGCATTGTCATGCTTTGTTATGATTTATGCTGCCAACAATAAATTTGCATACAGTGAGACATTCGTCTTGGCTGAATAGCTCGTGCAACATTTTTGTGGCCCGCCGCCATTTGATCCAAAACGGTCTGATGGCATTCTCGCAGAGAACAGCAAAAGAGTGAATTCCCCTGGCGTTTACACATCGATTTGACACAAACGTCCTCAGATCTTTGCAGATTGTGGCCTCCGCGATAGTGCTGAGTGCAGCACATACCCCCCCACCCCCACCACCCCAAAAAAAAAAAGAAGTCGGCAGGCAGTGCAGAAATGTTGGCTTTATCTGCAGCGCGCGGCTCTGTCAATAGTCTGCTGGGTCCACTGGCCCGCAGAGGGGGGGGGGTTCAAGGTTGCGGGGAAATTAATCAGCAACTAACCTCCTCACACCAGCTCAGGTCACGCTTCGGCCGCCCGACGCGCCGCACGTTAAGCGCAGGCCTCGTTCCCGAATCCCTTGCTAACTTGTTGAGCGCTGGAGCACGGACCCGAGAAAAGATGGCCTGGCGCGTTTGTCCAATACGCCCTTGCAGAAGAAGCGCACGCCGCTCCTATCACGAGTGCCGCTCTGGGCCTCGTCGTCGTACGTGGACCGAGCAAGCATCGGCACCAAATGGCATTCGACCAGTGCACCCCACTCGTACGGCAAATTGGTGAAGACAAAGACTTGGACTACGTGGATGTTAAACGGCGGGGTTATCAACCAAACGCTCAAATGAGCTGGCGGAAGGGCGTAGGTTGAAATCAGGGCTCCGGCCTTCCCGCGTGGAGTTTGCACGTTCTCCCCGTGCCCGCGTGGCTTTTCTCCAGGTACTCCGCTTTCCTCCCACAACCCAAAGACATGCCTGGCCGGTTCATGGAAGACTTAAAAGTGTCCCGCGAGTGGCTGGTTGTCTGCGACGGGCTGGCGACCGGTTCAGGGTGTGCCCAAAGGCAGCCGGGAGAGGCTGCGGTACGCCCGCGTCCTTCCTGAGGAGAAGCGAGGAGAAAATGGAGGAGGTTCATGGAAAGCCGAGTATGCCCAAAGTGGCACTCGTATGGGATAAAAAACAAAACCATGACTTTGGTTTGAGCGTTCATCCGGTTTAAGGTCCGACCCATATCCCAAAAGTGGCACCTAAGTGAAAAAAAACAAACAAAACAAAAACATTACAAGTAGGACACCGTAGTGCGGAAGACGATTAGGCTAGTGAAGGAAAAAAAAAAACAAGGTTGGCAAGATTCTCAGTTTTATCTCAGAATTCTGACTTGATTCTCAGAATTCTCACATTAAAGTCCGAATTTTCACTTTATTTTCATGGAAGTAGTACTCCGACTTTCAAGTCAGAATTCTGAGAATAAAGTCAGAATTGTGACTTTAGAGTGAGAATCTTGTCAACCTTGTTTTTTTTTTTTGTTTTTTTTTCCCCTCACTGGCCCTCACAAAGTAGAATTCCGACTTTCAAGTGAGAATTCTGACAATAAAGTCAGAATTGTGCCTTTAGAGTGAGAATCTTGTCAACCTTGGTTTTTTTCCTCACTGGCCCGACCCGTCTTCCGTCACCCGCCGTCCTCCGAGTCGTGCCTGCAATTGTCTTCCAGGTGAGGAGGAGGAAGAGCGCGCTCGCTGGATACAAAGGCTACGGAGTTCAATGTCGAAACAGCTTTGTATCCGCTACTCGTGCATGATGACCGCATGCTACCGGGAGGAGATTTCTGGAACAGTTTTTTTTTCCCCTCACTGGCCCTACTCGTCTTCCGTCACCCGCCGTCCTCCGAGTCGTGCCTGCAATTGTCTTCCAGGTGAGGAGGAGGAAGAGCGCGCTCGCTGGATACAAAGGCTACGGAGTTCAATGTCGAAACAGCTTTGTATCCGCTACTCGTGCATGACCGCATGCTACCGGGAGGAGATTTCTGGAACATGTTTGACATTTCTACGAGTGAAGTGCTCGAGGCTCCGTGTGACCCAGTGGAGGTTAATCGTGGTCACTGCTGGTCACGTTAGCGCGCAGAGGTCAACCCGTGGCCAGGTCCGCCTCCCTTCGAACATCCACTGGCGTTGTCCTACGACCACGCCAACGTATTCGGAAGTTGCTGGACTCGTATGACCGAGTCATTGGGTTGGTGTGCTTGATTGTCTTAGCACGAGTGAGGACAAAATGGACCACTCGCTGGATACGAAGGCTACGGAGTTCAATGCCGAAACAGCTTTGCATCCGCTACTCGTGCATGACCGCATGCTACCGGGAGGAGATTTCTGGAACATGTTTGACATTTCTACGAGTGAAGTGCTCGAGGCTCCGTGTGACCCAGTGGAGGTTAATCGTGTCACTGCTGGTCACGTTAGCGCGCAGAGGTCAACCCGTGGCCAGGTCCGCCTCCCTTCGAACATCCACTGGCGTTGTCCTACGACCACGCCAATGTATTCGGAAGTTGCTGGACTCGTCTGACCGAGTCATTGGGTTGATGTGTTTGATTGTCTTAGCACGAGTGAGGACAAAATGGACCTTCAGGTGGACATTGAGAACGGGACTCGTAGTTTTGCGGTGGAGATTTGCCAAGGCCTCCCGCACGGCAACAAGACGAGCTGCCGCGGGCAAGCCTAGCAAAGCTCGGACAGAAGATCAAGGTGGGATGCGGAGGCGATCCGTGTCGATTTCGGGTGGGGGGCCGTTGACGACTTCAAACCCAGCCGAGAGGAAAAACCACTTCTGCTCGTTTTTCAGGAGAGGCCGCTTTCAGCGCGACGGCGCCGCGACGGGACTCTGGTTTGACTCTTCAAATAAATCACCCACTGCTTGTTTCTTCATGTATCGCGAAGAGATTTTCACTCTCGGCGTCGAGCGGCTCTGAGTTATTGGGCAACATGTTCCCCACCCACATTTGAAGAAGCAAAATGTTAGCCTGCGCGCGCCGCATTAGGACAAAGGCTGTGAGCAACATCATGAAATGGTCGCCCCAATGCGGAAATCGTTCAACAAATAAGTGCAGCAAATGACATCATTAAAAAAAAAAAAAAATTAACAGACGTGAGTTACGTTGTCTGTAGTTTAATGTTCATTTCCTTCCATGTACTGTCGGCCCTGGTGATTTACGATTTTGCGGGCGATTGATGATTTTTATCTTTACGACCGCTGTACGGTGGCAGTGAACTCAACTCCACTCAGCTCACTTCACAAAAAAGTTGCACTTTGGCAGAGGGTGCATAATTCTTCTTCTTCTTAAAAAAAAAAAATAATAATAATCATAATAATCTGACGTTTAATGTCAAACTAAACATAAAACAAAGACAATTATGCAATTGTGTGTTGAAAACTACTGGGAAAGTTTGCTTGGTTCAATGATGCAAAACGCCATCGCTAACAAATGGCATCCATAGTCTCAGCGATCTCACCCTTTCAGCAACAGCAATCTGGACACAAATGGCGCAGCAACACCTATAGCCAAACAATATAACAACACACCCATCTATTTCTGTGCCGTCTGAAAAACGGTAAACATTACTTCAACTGGCCGCCGAATTTTCATCCACATCGCAACAATGATCTTCACTTGCTGTGAGGGATTTCAGAAAACCGGCGGATCATTTTTGGGGCTGACATATTCCGACAACTTGCTCAGCCATTTCCACGAAAGACTTATCATGGCATTTGAAACTGGTCCCCAGTCATGAGAAACTGCTTTTTTGATTGCACAAATGACACACTGAGATGAAAGTGGTTTTGAGAAATTCAATTCCGATGTGACATATTCTGACAACTTGCTCAGCCATTTGCACGGAAAGACTTAGAATGGCATTTGAAACCGGTCCCCAGTCATAAGAAACTGCTTTCTTGATTGCACAAATGACACACCGAGATGAAAGTGGTTTTGAGAAATTCAATTCCGATGAAGAAATACACCACAACAACGGAGAAAAACTGTGAAAAAAAACCCCAAAACAAAACAAAAAAAACAACAAAACCCACACAAATTCGGACTTGTTTTTTTGGTGAGGGTGGAATGGATTAATGGTATTTCCATTCATTTCAATGGGGAAAGATGATTTGAGATGTCCACCTATAAATAGCTCCACGTATAAATAGCACAATGGGAGAATTGGATCAATTTGCAGTGCGCTGAATATTTTTCCAGAGCGCTAGACAGCAGAGACTGCATTTCCCCTTGAGGGATTATAAAATGTATCATAAGTCAAATGGAGCGTTGCTCTCATTTCTGTGGATATGTTTTGATTCATAACATGTATCGATTGTCTGTACTTCATTATGTCAAGACAATCATTCGAGTCCCGGGCCCAGCAAAGTGAACAATGGCTTGCAATTAAAGCACGCTTTTAAAAAGCACAGATTGTCGCTCTCTGAGTGCTTGGCTCCATTTCAAACATTTCAAGAATGTATTTTTTTTTTCTCCCCCCCCTCATGCAATGACCCCCCACTCGTGTTCCCTCGGATCCCCGAGCTGTCTTTTCCTTGCTTCTTGCTCAAATGCTGACAGGAGACAGGGAAATTCCCACACAGGATGACCTCCTCGCTTCAAAGTTTAGCCCGGCCTCCTCTCCTCGTTTTACCGTCAGTGGGCAGTATTTGTCCGTAACCTCGGTGTTGCATCACAGCTTCTCACAAGCCAAATGGCGTCAGCCCCCCCCCC